GGCCTACAACTCCCAAAAATCCCAGCTAGTTTACCAGTTGTTAGGATTTCTGGGAGTTGAAGGCCAAAACATCTGGGGACCCACAGCTTGAGAACCATTGGTTTAGAGCTTGCCTATCTTAGGATTCACGGCAATGAATTAATGTAGTTCGACACTACTTGAAATGCCCTGGCTCAATACTATTGAATCATGGGAATTGTAGTATTACATTTTCTTTAACCTTCTCTGTCAAAGAATGCTGGTAGCCCACCAAACTACAACTCCTATAACATTGAGCCATAGCAGTTCAAGTGGTGCCAAACTGCATTTATTCTACAGTGTGGATGCACCCTCTGTGGGTCTGGCTGGAATCGGGCTTTTCAGAGGCACGTGTGAATCTCCCACCCTCCGGGTTGTGCTGGCCCTGGTTTTTACAAGCAGCAGACATGTCTGGAAGGAGTGGGGCATTCCTCCCCTTCGCTTCTCTCCTTTCCAAAACAATTGTATCTAAAACTTTCCGTGATTCATGCCCTAACCGCTGAAACAAGAGAAGAAATGCTGTCACTTTGGAGCGAAAAATACTGGCTCGAACTGTCCGTACTCCCAACGTGTTGCACGGTTTGGGGTGTTCCATTATGACCCGGGCTCGGGTCCTTGGATACCCAGTGGGCGCCTTTGGGCGAGTCACGCTCTCTCAGCCATGGAGGAAGGCAAGGGCAAACCCCTTCTGAATACACCTTGCCAAGAAAAAAAAAACAGATGCTTCAGTCGGAACAACAACAAACTGTTTTAACATGTTGTCGAAGACTTTCATGGCCGAAATCACTGGGTTGCTGTGAGTTTTCCGGGCCGTATGACCATGTTCCAGAAGCATTCTCTCCTGTCGTTTCGCCCACATCTATGGCAGGCATCCTCAGTTTTCAACAGACCGTACACTTCTGAGGATGCCTTCCATAGATGTGAGTGAAACCTCAGGAGAGAATGCTTCTGGAACATGGCCATACGGCCCGGAAAACTCACAGCAACCCTGTTACCATGTTTGTTTGTTATTTACAGCAACCCGACCTTGATTAGTATTGAAAATCCTCCCAACAAAGGATTCCTCAAGGCAGGCCTTGAAGCTGCAAGGCTTTTCAAGGTCATTAAATTGCAGCATGCACAGCTACCTCCGACAAACAAGAGTTCTTTCTCCCACCCTGGACATTCCACAGGTATATAAACCTCACTGGCTAAGATTCCAATATACCTCACAACCTCTGAGGAAACCTGCCATAGATGTGGGCGAAACGTCAGGAGAGAATGCTTCCAGAACATGGCCACACGGCCCGGAAAACTCACAGTTACCCTGTTACCATGTTTGTTTGTTATTTACAGCAACCCGAACTCGGATGCTGGAAGGGGAGTTCACACGTCCTTCTGAAGAGCCTGGCAGCCTTGGCGCGAGTCCTGGGCAGCAGGTCGCGCTGACCGAACCCCAAGCTTGCCTCTATTCTTCCCGTGTAGAAAAACGTTGCATTGATTCGGTGCAATTATCTGTGGCTCTTAGGCCGAGCGGCCCCGGCCTCCCCATTGTTCCCTGTTTGCACGCATTGTTCGCCGATTCCCATCAATTCTCATTTACTTGTCACGGGGGAGGGAAGGAAGGCGACGCAGAAGAGCCTCGGGCTCCAGGCCCGTTGCTAGCACGACTCCCGACCTGGGCGCTTCAAAAAGGGCGACAGCTCAATAAACCAGCGGGCCCAGACAATAGGGAGCGCTCCATCTCTCCCCAGTTGCCGCCTCGGACGTTGACTTCAAGGTGGGGTTGAGCAGAGCCTACAGAGTGGGCGAGAGGAAGACCAAAAAAAACCCTATCTTCCCTTTGGTATTCAGCCTGCCTCCTCCAGCTCAGGGAAAGACTGTGGAGAAACAGGATGTAGGTTCCTTGACCGATCCTAAAGGCCTTTGCATTCTGAATCTAATAGGAAAGCAGTGTGGGCCTAGGATCTTTGGTCTGGGTTTGGAAAATAGAAAATGCCTTAAACTTCCCTGAAACAAACCACACACATTCCTGTTCACAAGGCCTCAATTGCAAGGTTGTTTTGGCATTGTTGCAAAGCCTTACCCAGGCTGCGTCTACACTGTAGCATTAACGCAGTTTGGCCACACTTTAACTGCCATGACTCAATGATCTATGGATTCCTAGGAGCTGCAGTTTTATATCCTCTCTAAGAGTGAGCCTGCCTCGACAAACTACAAATCCCACGAATTCCCTTGCATTGAGCCATGGCAGCTTTTAAAGTGCTGTCAAATCACATTAATTTTACAGTAGACACACGCAGCCCTGGTTCAGCGGGATTCATGTCGAGGTATGTATAAACAGGAGGGCATTTTGCAATCTTCGTTGCCTTAATCGTTTTCTTCTCGATCCTGGTTTTTTCCACAACCAACGTCTATAGTGCTGCTTATCAGGATTCCTATAACTCGGGGCAAATCCGTGGCGACGTTGCTATGATCTCAGTTAACAACGTTGCGTCCCACAACCTCGTTCCACTTTTTCGACTCTCCTGTTGTGCATTAGAGAAGAAGGCCCGAATTTGGGGGCAGTTGGGTGCCCCTTAGGAAACCCCCTCCGATACAAGGAAAGGATGCCCCCCCCCCCCCGCAATGTTTCAGATGACACTTCGGTCAAGTTTTAGCGGCAGATCTTTTCCTCCAGGCCCAGGATGAGTTTCACCCCTTTTTTTTTGTTTTTGTTTTATCCCTTGCCTCCTCGGCTAGTCCAGCCTCGTTGGTCCCTCCAATCCTGAAGGCACTGAAAGTCCTCGAAGGACAGCGAGAAGAGAGCCCCTTGGCCTCCAAGGCCCCCAGGGAGTGCATCTACAATGTCAAATCAATGCAGTTCAAACCCATTTTCACTGCCATGGCTACGGAATCTTTCGTTTTCTCTGCCCAAGAGTGCTGATGCCTCACCAAACTTCATCTCTCAGGACTCCATAGCATCGAACCCTGGCAATTGAAGCGCATTAACCCTGTTAATCACCTTGATTAGATTTGAAAAGCCTCCCAACAAAGAATCCCCCCAGTCAGGAATCAGCTAGGCCTTGAAGCTGCAAGGCTTTTCAAGGTCTTTAATTGCAGCATTCACACTTGCCTCCAACAGACAAGAGTTCTTTCTCCCACCCTGGACATTCCACAGATATATAAACCTCACTGGCTATGTTTCCAGTATATCTCACAACCTCTGAGGATGCCTTCCATAGATGTGGGCGAAACGTCAGGAGAGAATGCTTCTGAACCCACAGCAACCCATTACCGCCAACTGTCTAACGGGGATCATTGAGAGATGAAATAAAGGACCAGGGCTTTCTCCCTCCAGTCGTCAGTCTGGCAAATGGGCTGCCGCCTCAGGACAGACAGGAGTCGCGCGGAGGTCGCTCTGGGCCAAGCGAGGAGCCCCGAGGAGGAGCCTTCCGGGCCGGTCTCTCGGCATCTGTTTGCCATCAAGGCCCCGGCGCCTCCCTCCATTGACGCGGCCTTCCTCCTCCTCCCCTGGAGCCCTGGGTTCAACAACAGCCGCCGCAACAACAACCAGACCAGCCTGGGTCCGCGTGTGTTTTCCTCTGTTCACTACTTACACTGAGGAAGGGAAAGGGGAATCGGGGCGTTCCTCGAAAGAAGAAAGTCCCTTCTTGACTTTCCCGAATGGTCGATCCATCCCAAGGAAAGTTTCGGGAAAGAACAACGGCACAGGATTAAACGCCAGAGGTTAAGGGGCAAAGGCTCACGCTGATCCCTCCTGTGTACACACACATACACACACACACACAGAGTGATCCTGACCTCACTTCCTCCCTCTCTCCTATTTCTTCTTGGCTGGATTCAGAGACAGGGAGGAAAGGGTAATACTCTTACAGCAGGCCTGGACCAACTTGGGCCCTCCAGGTGTTTGGGACTTCAACTCCCAGAATTCCCAACAGCCTCAGGCCCCTTCTTTTTCGCTGAGGGGGAAAAAGAAGGGGCCTGAGGCTGTTGGGAATTCTGGGAGTTGAAGTCCCAAACACCTGGAGGGCCCAAGTTGGTCCAGGCCTGGTATAGAACTGACTACACGCAGTTTGACTCCACTTTAACTGCCATGACTCAGTGCTGTGGAATCGTGGGAGATGAAGTTTGGTGTGGCACCCGCACTCTTTGGCAGAGAAGGCTGGAGGTTTTGTAGAACTTCAACTCTCTCGACCCCAAAAGCATTGAACCTTGGCGGTGAAAGTGGGGTCAGACTCAATTCATGCTGCAGTATAGATGAGGAAATGAAAGGGTCTGAGGCTGCTAGGAATTCTGGGAGTTAAAGTCCAAAACATCTGGTGGGCCCAAGTTGGCCCATGCCTGCTCTAAAGGCCAGGATTAATGTATCCTGGCCCCACTTTTCACTGCCATGTCGAAGCACCAGCACTCTTTGCCAGAAAAGGCTAAAGACCTTGTCAAACTACAACTCCCATGATTCCATACTCTTGGACCAGGACAGTTAAAAGTGAGGCCGAAGTGCACGAATTTTTCAGGGTAGCTGCGCCTTTTGAGAGGGCCTTCTCCACGCGTTTCCCCGGGGCAATAGAGACGCGCGTGGAGGGGCGGCGGAAGGAGGAGGGGGGAGAACTGAGCGCGTGGGAACGCAAGCCCAGCGGAGCCGCTCTCTCCCAGTCTCCTCTCGGTATCGCCAGTCCTAATTACTCCGCCGACTTTGCCTGTTGTTTTGGCAGAGTGACAGAGCTGGAAAGCTCCCTAATCACACCGCTCCGCTCGCTGCTGCCCATGTCATTAAGTTCTAATTTATTTAAAAGGGGGGGAAAAGAAGGAGGGGGGAGGGAGGGGGAGGGGGAGGGAGGACGGGGAGGAAGAGAAAAGAGAATCCATGGCCCCGCCCCTTCTCCTCTGTACTCTAGGCGCGCTGGGAGCCAATCCGCTGCGTCACCGCCTGACGTCACCGCCCGCGCCGCTCCCCCATTGGCCGAGCCGCGCTTACCCCACTTCCCCGAGGAGGAAACAGCCTGAAGTCTCCGCTGACCCAAAAGGGGAGGGGGGCAGAGAGCGGCGCGGATGCCGAGCGAGACTGCTGCGTCCGGCGGAGCGCAAGCGAGAGATTGAGCGTTCGATTGACTCTCTGGTTCGGAGGCGAGCGAGGAGAAGGGGAAAGGACGCGGGCGGGAGGAAAAAGACCAGGACAAGGAGGGAAGGAGGGCGGGCGGCTCAGGCAGGGCGGCCGGAGGAGCCGCGATGTCGTCGTCGTCGTCGTCGTCGTCGTCTTCTTGTTCTCCCGCTTCCAAAGCGAAGGAGGTCTTCTCCTCGGACGAGGAGGGCCCCGCCGTCGTTGCGGTCGCCCCCGCCGCGGTTGCTGTTGCTGCCGCCGAGGAGCCCCCCAAAGTCAAGGTCTCCAGCCTGCCCTTCAGCGTGGAGGCGCTGATGTCCCCCGACAGCAAGAAGCCCCCGCGGGAGCCCGCCTCCGGCCTGGAAGGCGCCGGCCTGGGCCCCTCGCGGACCCCGCTGCTCCTGCCCGCCCACGTTGCCGCCCGCGAGCCCCCCAGCAGCCCCGGCGCCGCCCGAGAGGCAGCCAAGCCCTTCGAGACCGCCGCCTCCGTCAAGTCCGAGACCTCCGAGGACGGCGGCTCGCCCTGGGTCCCCGAGGCCGGGCGCTACTCCCCTCCCCCGAGTGAGTCCGGGACCTGGGACGAGGGCGGGGCGGGGGGGCTTTGGGCTGAGTCCATGTTCTTGGGATGAGAGGGAGCGGGATTCCCAGCCAAGGTCGCTGAGAGTGTCTCTTAGGAGAGGAAAGAGGAAGAAGCATAATAACATGGCACCCAGTCTTGAAAGGAGTCCGCTTCTCAGGAGGAAAAGGCGGCGAGGGGTGGAGGGCTCGGGTTGATCTCCCAGCCTGAACTTTGGGAAAACCGAGGCAGCTCTGGCCGGATCTGCACTGCCCTATAAGGCAGTTTGGAACTGCACTGAGCTACGTTATATGGGCCGACGCCGAGCATCAAATGCATTTCCAAACTGCAGTGGGCCCTTCTACACTATATCCCAGAATATCAAGACAAGAAATCCTACATTATCTGAGTGTGGACTCAGATCACCCAGTTCAAAGCAGATACTGTGGGATTTTCTGCTTTGGTATTCTGGGATATAGGTCTGTGTGGAAGGGCCCAGTGTAGATCCAATCCCTGCAAGGCAGCCCGGCAACCCTTTGGATCGCTTGCAACTCGGCCCACACTTTAAAAAGAACTTATTTTGCCTGTAATGTAATTATAGGGTTATCTTTTGTTGTACTAGTATATTTTATCTTCTCCCCCTTCCTTTCCAAATGGAGTCTCCAAGCGCCTTTTAAAAAGATGGGCAAAACGCCGCCGCCCCCCCTTTTCCGCCGAGCCCTGAGATCCTAGGGGAAATGATGGGGAAGCCGCTGGAGGACCCCCCCCCCCCCATTCCTGTTCTTAGTGATGATGGCTCTTTCCAACTTTTATGAGCTGGCGGACATGGTTATTCCCAAGCGGATCTATTTCGCTGTCTGGGAAATAGATCTGTTGCGACTTAAATGTGACCGAAACTACCTACTAGCTCCATTCTCATCCTTATTGAAAAAATACATCACAAAGAGATAGTTTCTCTTTCTTTGAGGTTTAAGTGTGAGCGAAACTACCTATCTCCATCATGATCGTGCATTCTGCATTCTACGTGGATAGTCTGGGGAGGGAGAGTACTTCTATTTATCTTCTTTGAAATTTAAGTGCCAGTGAAATTAATTAGCTCCTCTATTATTATTATCATTATTATTATTATACATTATTATACATTGCAAGTGACAAGTCCTTGGGTGAGGGAAGTAAGCCTCTTCCCCTTTCCTTGTGGCTTAAATGTTAGTGAAACTACCTAGTTCCTCTATTCCATTATTATTATCATAATTATTATTCATCCCAAGTAGGAGGTAGGTCTGTTCCTATTTGGCTGGATCTACACTGGCACATAATACAGTTCCAAAACTGCATTATACGTTCAGTGTAGATCTCAATAATGCAGTTCAGTGAAGTTAAACTTCATTATATGGGTCTACTATGCTGACCAAATCATACAATTCCATTATATGGCAGTGCAGATCCAGCCTGTCTTTGTGATTGAAGTGAGAATGAAATTACCTAACTCTCCCCTATTTCACCATCTCATCATCATCACCATCATCATTACCTTTATACATTTCAAGTGACTAATCCTTGGGGGGAAAGTAAGTACGTCTGTTTCTCTGTCTTTGGGACTTAAGTGTGAATGAAACTACCTAACTTCAGGAGTACATCATCATCATCACTATTGCTACTCTGCATTATTATTATTATTATTATTATTATTATTATTATTATTATTATTATTATTATTATTATTATTACCACTACTACTATTCATCCCAAGGAGAAAAAAAGTCTGCTTCTTTTTCTTTGCGGCTGAAGTGTGAATGAAACTACCTAATCTCTCTAGCACATCACCATCATCATTACTGCTACTCTGTTGCATTATTATTACTGCTACTGCTACTACTACTACTACTATTCATCCCAAGTGGAAAGTAGGTCTGTTTCTCTTTCTTTGCGACTTAAGTGTGAATGAAACTACCTAACTTCTCTAGTACAGCATCATCATTACTGCTACTCTGTTGCATTATTATTGTTGTTGTTGCTGTTACTACTACTATTCATCCCAAGTGGACAGTTAGTCTGTTGCTTTTTCTTTGAGACTTAAATGTGAATGAAACTACCTAACCTCTTTAGTACAACATAATCCTCACCAGTACTGCTCCTCTGTTTTATTATTATTATTATTATTATTATTATTATTATTATTATTATTAATTACTACTACTACTATTCATCCCAAATAGATAGTCCTTTGGGATGGAGTAAGTCTTTCTCTTTCTTTGCGATTTACGTGTGAATGAAACTACCCAACTCTCTATTACATCATCATCGTTATCGCTGTTCTATTGCATTATTATTATTATTATTATTATTATTATTATTATTATTATTATTATTATTATTATTTCCAAGCGGATAGTCCTGGGGGGAGTAAGTCTGTTTCTCTTTCTTTGCGACTTGAGTGCGAAGAAAACTCCCTAGCTCTCTCCTTCATCTTCTTGATCATCTTCTTCCTCATCTTCTGCTTCATCCCCGTGGCTGTTTGGGCGCCCCTTTCCCTCAGTGGCTGGCCAGGGCTCTCCTGCCAAGGCGGCCTGTCTGTCTCTCCTCCTGGCCTGCCTGCCTGCCTTCCTTCCTGCTTGCCTTCCCCGCTCGGCCTGAGCCTGGCCCCGGCTTGCCTCCCCTGCTGCACCTGTAGCCGCCGCCACCTCCCTTTCCTCCGCCGCCAGAGCCTGCCTTGGGGGCTCCGAGGAAGCGCACCTCCGCCAAGGATCCTCTTCCTTGCTTCTCCTTGCGCTTCGCCGTCCGAAGAACCGAGCCCAGATCAGAGAGAAGAAATAAACCCCAGGGGGAAGAAGGGGCGAACTGGCATCTTAAATCGGGGAGAGCTTCCCCAGGTACCCTGGATGCCAACTCTGTCTCCGGCTTGTTTCTCTCCTCCTTGCCTTTTTCTCGTTTCCCGGGACCAAACTGCACTTCCGGTTCTGAGTGGTCACCAATCTAATAGATATTTCAACTCCCCTTAGCGTTATATCAACATTATTTGGTGGGTTTTTTAAAAACAAAAAAGTTGGGACACTTTTTAAATATTGATGTCCTCCTTATGTCCCCCATAAACCCCGTGCGAGATTCAATTATTCCGTCCTCTAACATCCACGCTGTGCCCCAACCTTTTAAAAAACGTCTCCTGCTTCATCTAAGGCTGGATCCCCACTGCCATATAATGCATTATATAACTGCCACAAATGGGTCTAAACAGAGCATATAATGCAGTTCAAACTGCATGATCTAGCCGTGGAGATCCAGCCTAATCCTTCGGGCGCGGTGAAGAGAAGGGCTGCATTCTCCTCCATTCGATCAGGGGAGCCGTGTTCGGTGCAGTAAAACGGTCTGACATTTCAAAGCCTAAGGCCTGCTGGAAATAAAAGGGAGAGTCATATAAATTGTACGCGTCTCTAACAAAGCAGACTTTGCCCTTTGAAAAGTCCAAGTCCTCTTAGTGCAAATGTGTCTTATCAAGATATCTTAAATAACCAAGTTGCTTTTGCTTGTAGCAGAAGTTCTCATTTACTGGGAGTCCTACTAGAAGCATAGCTTGGCATCTCCCTGTTACACACAGAATGGATTTTCAAAGCTTCATTTTGGCTTCTGTTTTTTAAATATCACATTCTGTCAAGTTCCTCAAAAGTTAAGTAAGGCCTGTCTCCCCCTCTCTATGGATTGCCTTTCCTTCTTGCTTGATGCTGTTTGCTTGTACTCAGAAGCCAGGGCCCTTCCACACAATCATATAACCCAGAATAGCAAGGCAGAATATCCCACAATATCTGCTCTGAACTGGCATAGGACTATCAAATATTCCAGTTGAAAGCAGATAATGTGGGATTTTATTTAGCTGTGTGGAGGGGGCCTCAGTCTCATTGATTACAATAGGACTTTACCTCCAGTTCATTTGTTCAGGACTACTCCTTTACCATTTTTCCAAGCTGTCAACATTACAATTTATTCTACATTTTAGCTGCAATGAAAGACAGACCGCCTTCCCCTTCTTTAAAGCTCTAACAGAAGACTTGTAATTCTAACTACAAATACCAGGATGTGTTTTTTATGTTTCAAAGCAAAAACAAAATAAAAAGCAACAACCACAGTTAAGTATATATTGGAAGTCTGGTTCATTTCTTTATAGCTCTCTTCAGAATTCATTCATGTCTGTGGCTTTGTTTGCTTGACTTTGGAGCAGATTCGGGTTAAAAAAACATTCAAAACCCATCTTGAAGCTGCTTTTTCTTTGAAACCAGGGTTTCAGCTGATCTTAGGAGAACTTCCAAGTAAATGTATTTCAAATGTAGATGAAATGTATTGGGAGAGGCAACAAATCCAATTCCTAGAGTCATGAAGTTTTCTAAAAGGCATCTATTTACAGATTACTACATAGCTATTACAACACACACACATAGTTTCTTCTCAGAGATAACCTTTGCACATCAGTGGAGTTTACTCCTAGGTACAGGATCACAGCATAAGGATTCCTGTCTATGGTGTCTCATTCTCAAATGTGATCCTGTGGTGTGTAATATCTGAGAAGAATGATGGGAAAGAAGGTAGGGGTGAGTTTTGAAAAGAGGTAAAAGAAGACACTATGGTGTAAGGTAGAGGGAATAGGCTCAACATGTTTCAAATACTATAGTCTATATATATAGTAAAAAGATTATTGAAGTTTGCAAATAGAGCAAACTCTCCATCATATTTAAGTAATTGCCATTATGACAAGGAAGTGTGGGTTTTGTATAGGAGTAAGCTATAACAGAAATATGCTCACACATTATAAAAACCATTACATAGCTTGTAGAATATCAAATGCCTTCCCATCCCACAATTACATTATACTTTGGGAAGAGATGTTAGGCTATTGAGGCTAATTAATGCTGGTCTTCATTTCTATCTTCACTTGGAACGTATTTTCTCATATTACAAGACTTTCCATACTATTTTTCAGGCAAATGGAATATAACCTGCTAGTCTATTCTTCCCCTATCTTAGCTGAATGGCAAAATCGTGATAGACCCTTGAGCAAGGCTGGAATCCTGTATAGTTACACGAGAGGAAGGAGATTTCAGTACTTCAAGACATTTCAGTGGGACATTGAAGCGTGTTTCTGTATGATGATACACAAATTAATTTTACTGAAGGCAGACGCAATATAATATCCCTAAACTTCATGCTTCGCATGTGATGCACATACACAAGATCCTCAGTTTTAGTCCTAAAATATGCTTTGGGAACACCAAAAAGAGAAATAGAAAAATCTGATTAGAGTAACGCCTACATTGGGATTACTAAAATGTCACAATCTTGGAGTTCTGCTAAATGTTTTGGTGATTTTTAGACATCATAAAATTTTCCACCATTTTTGTAACCTTTGAGTGCTCAGAGTAAAGTGTTGTTTAAGGCTGATTTTTCTTTTTATTCATGGACCACATAGCTATTTTTATTTTTCAGTTACTGTGAGTGTTGTTCCCTCTCTCCGGTAGACACACAAATTGCACTGACTTTAAATAGGTCTTGTTGCCTTGCCATAGAGGAGTACAACTCTAGAACATTTTACCCACTTTGGTGTATTTCAAAAAGCCTTTGAAATGCCGAAAAGGAAGACAGTTGTGCAAACATCAATAACAAAGGCTACTTCTTCCAATCCAGTTGCATAACTATGCTAACATTTATTCTGCAAAGTCCCAGATATTTAAACTACCATAAGTTTAAGCTGAACACCATCCTGGCCAACATTGGTTTCTAAAACCAGTTGTTCCCACAAAGTTCTCCCAGAATTCTGAGTCTGAAATCCTCATCCTTGATTTGATTTCTATGTGGATTTTGATTCTAAGACTTGGATCTTTGATGCATCTGCTTGAAATTAAATCCCAATGACCAATATGCTTTAAAAATTATACCAAAGGCAGCCCAGAGTTTTGAGGCAGGCAACTCCTCTGGTGCATTTATTTTATTTTCCCCCCTTGCTCTTCTCATAGGATTTCTGAGCCCTGGAACTCTTTTGTACTGAAATGCAAATTGCGCTGAAAAGAGTTAGGACTGTTGCTATGTAAATTACAGGCTTTGAGTTGTAATGGAACAAGATATGAAACAAATTCCACATTTTGTATTAGCTACAGATGTTGTGCAGCTATATATTTTTAAAGATTAGCATGTGTCATAAGAGCTACATGTTGAACGAGTGTCTCAGCCTTTTGCCTTCCTTGTTTTTTGTTGTTCCTGGCCGAGAATACAGGAACCTCAATTAAGGAGGGGAACCGAATGACAGACAACTCTTTGCTGGCAGATCACAAGTCTCCCATTGATTTCACTGAAAGCCTTGGCAATGAACACAGACAAAAACAACAGCCAATACAGCCCCCTCCCCACTGGACCCTCTTCCAGTATCCTCAGGCAAAACTTCAGCTAAAATGTCTGATCAAAGATGTCATTCACACGGGATAAATCATAACAAGCAGTGGCTGGGGATGCATTTATTGCTCTCCCTTATGAGACATTTTGTTTTTTCACTTCTAGTTAGTAACCGACTCCTTTAGTAATATGTTCCACTTTCAGCTTCAGTGGTGACCTGTAGGAATTCCTGCTTCCTTATGTCTTACCAAAAGGAACACATAGATAGCTTTTTAGATTCTTGGTTGTATGACAAAAGACATCCAGGGATTCTCACTGTTATGTTTTAGACCAATAGTTCCCAGCCTTTTTTTTTTTTTTAACCAGGGACCACTCTCCAACATTAGTACCAAAAGGGTTAGAAATCAGTTTTTGGTCAACTATAGGTTTGGTTTGGTTATTACATTGGACAGACCACATCAGCTCTATTTTCTGATACAGAACATATGCCATCAGGTAGTCACCATCTGCTCACCCACAGAAAACCATATTTAATAAGCCTCCGCACTATAAGAGGGTTTTGTGAAACTGCCTACCTGGCCTGAAGATCATATTTTAGTTCTTGCAGACCACTGGTGGTCCATGGACCACACGATGGGAATCACTGGTTTAGATAGAAATGTCTACAGAAGTTCATGTTTGATGTTGGATTCACTATAATGGGTGGATTTCCAGTACACTTTTACATTCATGTCATGATTTATCCTTATTGAGATATAATGTAAAGTCAGGAAGTCAGGTGTATACCTATATTAATACAACTGCCTGCCAAAAGGCTTTTTGCATTCTGACTCCAGGAATCCTTTAGCTAGTCTGGTCACTGACTTTTGGGGAATTCTGGGAGCTGTAGTCCAAAAGAGCTATGTCTCTAATCCCTAACTATATTAAACAATATCTCATAAACACTGTGGCCAAATTCTTTATTGGTTTGACTGTTGTTAAAGCCATTACATATCACTACAAATTTGATACAGTCATCACAGCCATAGTGCTCTGAAAATAGAAACAAAACACTTGACAGCGCACTGTGTTGTTTTCCAGCTGTACACTATAATGCTTGCAGTGCCTACAGAAAATAGGTCTGTTTTTGCATTTATTATAGGGTATGTGCTACAGTCCTGCTGATGCAAGGAACAGGACCATAACAGAATTCTTTAAAACTTACTGAATGGATTATAAGTTTTTGGTGAGCACAAAGAAAGGCCTGGAACAGATTGGGGAAATTGTGTAAAATATTCAGACTGAGCACTCAAGTATGTGCTTGAAAATATAGGGTGCTAATGTGGCAAAAGTCATTGATTAGGCACTCAACGGGGAGCCACAAATGGTTGCAGGTCTCTGTCCAGGGTGTGATGGGAAATCCAAACCCACTGCTATGCAATGCAGTACAAAAACAACATTCAAGAGGAAACTAGGGAGGGCAAAGCACTCCATCAGTGATTATGTTTGAGAGATTTGCCAAGACTGAGATGGTTTTAAACAATGCAGATGAAAACAACATAATTGAAGTAAATTGTTTTGGTATGTTAAATATGATGCCATAAAACTTAATGGATTGGATCTTTGATTCCATGCAAGAAGTATAGCTGGCTCTTGTAACTATGTATTTTTGATAATGTTAGACTTTAGACATCCATTTCCATCCTTATGAAATTGTACTGTAAGCAGTACTTTGATGTCATTATTTCCATCCTCTGTTTTTTAACCGTTCTGCTTTGTACCTGGGTTTTGCTGTTTTCTTCTATGGTTCATGTACCCACACATAAAAGGACACCGCCTTCTTTCCTTTAATGTCAGTGTCTTGTTTTGATGTTGTTTCAGGTTGTTGGAAAGGGCGGGGGGGGGGTATACAAAGAGATTTGGCTACCACTGTGCCATGCCTTGCCTTGCCTCCCAATTATAGTCCCTCATCAGCATAATTGGGCTAGTATTTGGATATATTGGGATACTGGGTTGTTGTGTGTGTTTCCGGGCTGTATGGTCGTGTTCCAAAAGTATTCTCTCCCGATGTCTCACAACCTCTGAGGATGGCTGCCACAGATGCAGCCGAAACATCGGGAGAGAATGCTTCTGGAACATGGCCATACAGCCTGGAAACACACACAACAACCCAGTAATTCCGGTCATGACAATATATTTGGATATAGTTTTCCTATTTTGAAACCATGATCGTTGTGTATGCTGGGAGAAAGGAGGGGGGTGTTTCTCTGCCCTTTGACAGCTCGCTTCCCCTACTTCTTCTGAAGGGACTTGTCTTTGTTGCCTCTTGCAGGACACCTGAGCCCCACAGCTTGTACCTTGAGAAAACACAAGACCAACCGGAAGCCCCGGACGCCTTTCACCACCTCCCAGTTGCTGGCTTTGGAGCGCAAATTCCGCCAGAAGCAATACCTCTCCATTGCGGAAAGGGCCGAGTTCTCAAGCTCACTGAACCTCACAGAGACCCAGGTCAAAATCTGGTTCCAGAACCGGAGAGCCAAGGCAAAGAGACTGCAAGAGGCCGAGCTGGAGAAGTTAAAGATGGCCGCTAAGCCTATGCTGCCTTCGGGCTTTAGCCTCCCTTTCCCCATCAACTCCCCGCTCCAGGCAGCCTCGCTTTATGGGACATCCTATCCTTTTCACAGACCTGTGCTTCCCATCCCTCCGGTAGGACTCTATGCTACTCCCGTTGGATACAGCATGTACCACTTATCCTAAGGAAGAAGAAGACCAGAGCGCAGCAGCAGCAGCAGCAATGCGATAAGGAACATTCAGGCGGATCTTGCACAATTCAAGAATGCAGCAGAGGACCATTCCTGGGTGTTTTTTCCTGCATGCTTGTATGTGCCTTACCAAGTATATAGAAGTTTGACCGCAGAGCCTGTATTCTGCAGGTTGGGGAACCAGCGAGTGTGAGCTCAACACTCGGAAGCTGACCCTGAAAAAGAGGTGGTGTTTTGTTTGTTTTCAAAAAAACATACATGTTTAAAATACTATAGTTTTTGTATATGGGATGGGGGAGAAGGAATCAATCATTAAATCATGTGTTTCCACAGCATATAAATATATATATATGTATGTACACTTTCCCCTATGATGATGTCCCCAGTTTAAAGTGAATTATTCACTTTCTGAGGTGAAAAGTTTGCCACCTGTGCCTTTCCATGTTTACTCAGAAGTAAGCCCCACTTTGTGGAGTGGGGCTCACTCTCAATTTCGTGTGTGCATGTGTGAATAGATAGGAAGGCAGGATGAAATGTGTTCTTCCAGGGGGGGAAACATAGGTGTATAGGCAAGTTTTATTTATGAAACAGATTTAGCAATAAAGGGGGACTTCAATGGAGGCTAACTGACAGGCAGACTCAGGGCCCTTCCACACAGCCCTATATCCCAGAATATCAAGGCAGAAATTTTCACATTATCTGAGTGTGGGCACAGATAACACAGTTCAATGCAGATATTGTGGCCTCCATATTCTGGGATATAGGGCTGTGTGGAAGAGTCCGAAATCAGTCCCTGCTTTACCCCACTTAGTTCTCCACTGAACTGCAGTCCTTCAACCAAGATGTCTCAAATGCAAAAAGCTGGAAACAGATGAGGGAATTGCATTGGTCTGATCCAAACAGGCAAGTGTTACCTTTCTACAATGTGTGTCTTCCAAACTGCTGTCTTCCAATATTTGTGATCAATGAGATTCATAAAACGGGATTGACTCAGAACCAGTGTCTTTAAGGCTACCATTCTGAGGAATCCCACCAATAATACTTGATTTATTTGAATGGAAATGGAGGGGGGGGGGGGCTAGGAAAGAGACATGAAGAAAAGCACTGTTTTCAGTGTGTGTACCTTAATAGGCAGAGAGACTATCAAAACCCTGTTGCAGATTTGTGACTTTTATTGCAATAATCTGTGTTTAAACCATTACTAGCTTGTTCCAAATTAATTTTTCATGGGAGTTTTAGAGAATCACTCATAGCTCTAGGAAACCGAACTGAACCAAGCTATAGGAAACAAGAGAATGCCATCTTTGCTAAAGACAGAGCCATCATATCCCTCCCCCCCCTTTTAATATTTTGGAGAAGGAAGGGAGGGAGGGAGGGCCAACATCTGTTAAGTGTACTTGGCATTCTGTAAGCCACTGTTCGAATTATTTTATTTTTTTAATTATTATTATTGCTAAACTGTGTGGGGAATTGTCTCTAGAGGATGCAGGTTGCTGAAGACAGGACTTTCCTAAGATGTATTTCAGCATGTTATGAAAAAGATAAGAGACTCGGATTTGTTTTCTGTTTGACCCGCTCCTGGTTGTGTTGTGCCCATTAGTTGCCCATTAGTCGACTTCTGCCCCTTTCCCCCCAGCATATTAAAATCCCTTTGAAAGGGATGCCTTGTACAATTTTATATATTTTATTGAAGATTTATTATTTCTTACCTCTTATTTAGAATTAAATTAAAAACTTGTTTAATCATGTGTTGTTTGTCCATCTTTGGAGTTTTCAAAAGATACAAGAGAGTGAGCCGTGCCCCCCCCCCCCAAACCTTCTGAGTCAGCCTCAAATAAATACTGGAAACTGGAAAAAGCTGAACATTTCTGATTGGGAAGAGAAGTCGGATGTGAAACAAATGGGCAATTAGAAACTGCTATTTAAATCGTTATGATTATCTAGAATCTAAACTTCTTCATTCATAGCCGACTTGAGTAAAAATTGCTCATTAATTTCACCAGAGCAATTCAGTGATCTTTTTAAGGACCAAAAAAAAAGGGGGGGGGGCGTAAAACTATAAAAACGGATCTGAATGTCTTGTCGAAGGCTTTCATGGCCAAAATCAGTTTTTATCATGTCAGGAGCGACTTGAAAAACTGCAAGTTGCTTCTGATGTGAGAGAATTGGCCGTCTACAAGGACGTTGCCCAGGGGACCCCCCCCCCATGATGTTTTGTTGTTTTTACCATCCTTGGGGGAGGCTTCTCTCATGTCTCCGCATTGGGCGCTGGAGCTGACAGAGGGAACTCATCCACGCTCTCCCCGGGTTCGAAACTGCAACCTGTCAGTCCTGCCAGCACTGGGGTGTTGTGAGTTGTGAGTAATACAGCCGGGAAAACTCACAACAACCCGCTGATCCGAATTGCCCGTCCTGATAGCTCAGTCTTGGTCTAGGCTTGGGTGTGTGTGCCTTCAGGCTGCCTATTTTCTTAGGGCAACCCTTCAGATTTCACAGGGTTTTCTTAGGCTAGAAATACTCCAAGGTGGTTTTGTCAGTTCCTTCCTCTGGTTAGTACTGGCTCTAGATTTACTCCAGGGCAAAGCTCCTGAGTTAATTGGTCTTTGTCCTGGGGACTGCATTGCCCTCAACTCCAGTTATTGGAAGGGCCTCGGGGAGGAGAAACAAGGAGCCCTTCCACACAGCCCTAGAACCCAGAATATCAAGGCAGAAAACCCCACAAGATCTGCTTTGAACTGGGTTATCTGAATCCACACTGCCATATATTCCCGTTCAAAGCAGAAAATGTGAGATTTCACTTAACTGTGTGGCAGGGGTCTAAGAGGTCTACAAAAGCCATTTATACACGCAGGTATGAGGAGATGGAAACTCGTTCATCTGATCTGCGCTAATAGGAAAATAACTTAGTTACAAAATGAAGTTCCCCTCCGAGACAACGGGGTCACCACGTGCACCCCACAGACTTCCACAGGGATCTTTTTTTGGTATCGGGCACTATTAGGCAGCCTGTGGCCGCGTCTGGAAGGCCTTGTCCTGCTTTGAGGAGCCGGTTTCTCTGTTCCTAACCAGAGGCTTCCTTCCTCTGGTCAGAAAATGCCCCCCGCCCCAATGAAATGGGACAATCCGAATTCAAAGAAATTAAAAGGTGGTCTTTCGATGGAAAAAGAGGCGTCCGCCCCGACATTTGCTTCTTGTATATTTCATATATTCCTCCCTAGAAGCTCTGAAACCTTTGGAAGGCCACACAATTCTTAGGCTCGCTTACAATTGGTAGGCCCCTTCCACGCAACTAAATAAAATCCCACATTTTCTGTATTGAACTGGAATATATAACAATGCGGACTCTTATAACTCAGTTAAAAGCAGTTATTTTGGGATTTTCTGGATGATATGAAAGGACCCGTGGTTTAAAAATATATGGGGAAATAACAAGTAGCCCTGCAGTTGCAATCTTCGATGAATGGGTATTATTATTATTATTATTATTATTATTATTATTATTATTATTATTATTAATCTAAAAGAAAAACAAGTCAGCATTTACTTAGATATTTTATCTCTGAAGAAATCTTTGCATGGGCGTCGTTTCTGGCCAGGACGATGATAGGGTGCTAATAATAATAAGCAACCACATGACTTTTTTAGCGTTTTCCCCCAGCCCGCTCCTTCCTATATTGTCATGGGAGTCAGTCCTACCAAATGCAGTGGGGCTTCTTGCAGCCCCGGAAGACTGGAAGCTCTCCCACGCGGGGCCCTGGAATTGCACGGGGAGGTCTTCCCTCAGGTCTCAACGGAGCCCACTCCCTGGAATGTGCACACCTTGTTGTGTATTTGTGTGTGGACCCTAAGACGACCCCCATCATGGGGTTTTCCTTTGTTTGGGAGGGGGATGTCTTTGCCTTCCTCTGAGGCTGAGAGTGTGTGACTTGCTTCGTATCCCTTCTTTGGGTTCAATGGCCGAGCCAGGATTCAAACCTTGGTTTTCCAGGGTCGTGGTCCAACCCTCAAGCCATTCCTCCACGCTGGTTTCGTAGACATACCTAAGACTGTGCAATTGTTATTATTGGCCTGTGAAAGAGGTATTGCTGCAAGGCGGTTGGGATGCGGGTCTCAGCTCACACCCCTCAGACGAAGCTTGCTTTGGAGTGGAAAGAGAGCGGTGTTCATGAGTCCAGGGCAGAAATGCGGTTGGAATCCACGTCGGGTTTCTGAAGGAGCCACAATCTCGTGGGTGCCAAAGCGGGACAGAAGACGGAAGGCGAAGGGGGGGGGGGGGAGCTTCACCTGTTGTATTTCTATCTGCGTTGTGACTCCCATACTTATTAGCAAGACGCAGGGATAGTAGGGGCTGGTGACTGGCCGAGGGACAAAACCAGGGAGTCCTGCTTTGGCTCCAGGATCCATAACAGTGTGTTAACACGCAGAGGAGCCCCCAGTGGCACCGTGGGTTAAAATGCTGAGCTGCTGAACTTGCTGACACAAAGGTCACAGGTTCAAATCCAGGGAGCGGGGTGAGTTACCACTGTCAGCCCCAGCTTCTGCCAACCTAGCAGTTCGAAAACATGCAGATGTGAGTAGATCAATAGGTACCGCTCCGGCAGGAAGGTAAAGGCGCTCCATGCAGTCATGCCGGCCACATGACCTTGGAGGTGTCTATGGACAACTCTTCAGCTTAGAAATGGAGATGAACACCACCCCTCAGAGTCGGACACGACTGGACTTAATGTCAGGGGAAAATCTTTACCTTTACCTTAACACGCAGCGGCTGCTGCTGATCCCATTTTGGTGTTTCTGGCTATATTTGACCTGCTGGTTCAAAAAAATGGCACTAATTTCCCCTATCATCTCTAGTTTTTGAGATACAGAATGCATTCCTTAATCACCATCTCTGAAAACCATGATAATAACCACATCTAAGAAAGTAGAGCTGAGCTGATGCGGTCTGTCCAATGCAGTTTTCCGACTCAGTCCTCCAAATAACCCCAGGAACAGGCCTAGAAGCCAAGAAAGCAATACATTTTTTGTTCAGCTATGTAGTAATTATCATAATAGATATTTTTATCCCGCCTTTCCCCTCCCAAAGGAGGCTCAAAGCGGCCAACACTCTAACCGGTTGAAAGACTCCGAAGTGATTTTCAGTCGAGATCCTCTCCCCCCCCCCCCTTTTGCCCTTCCCCAGCCTGTTCTCATTATGTTTTATAGCCGTGCTTAAAAAAGGGGGGGGGGGGGGAGTCAAAGGAGAAAGACTTTCCCTTTCCAAGCCGGAGTGGCCTGAATGGAGACACGAAAGAGCCCTTGGGCTGCCCTTGGTGGGGGGATGGGAGGGCTGAGCCTGGAAGTCCCATCCACCCGCGTCAGGGATTACCGGGAAGAGCTTTGAGTCCGGGGGCTTGGAGAGTGTTAGGCGCGAAGCTTGCGAGGGGCTCCAGGATTTATGGCGGAAGGGCGGGCGGGGGAGGGGGGGTTGGAGGGAAAGGGAGCCCTCTCCCGTCGCCCGACCCCCTCCCTCTCTCGCTTTCCTCCCTTCTTTAAACCCAGAGACAACCCGGGGCCTCTTCTAATTGGAGTCTTACCCGGCGCCCCATTTATTAACCTGCCCCAACCCCAGCTTTTCCGAAGGCGAGGCCGAGTTAATTGAGTAGTCGACTTTACGAGAGGGAGGTGTCTGTTTCCTAACGCGCACTGGCAACGTGCGGAACTGCGGAGGGAGGGGAAAGGGAGAGAGAGAGCTATTAACGCGAAGCAGTTGCATCCAGTGGAAAGGAACGAAGCGAACTGAAGAGAGAAAGGGGCGCCCTGTCCAATCCTTTCTTGGCACCAAACTTCAGCCTATTCTGGGCTCGTTGGCACCGGAGGGGGGCGGTGTCAAGGAGAGGGGGCGGGAGGCGCAGAGAGTGAGCAGTCATTAGAGCAATAAAATAGTCGGGATTTATTTTGATCAAGGAGATAATCTCCTCGGCGTGGAAAAAACAGCCCTGTGCCTTCTCAATGGATGAGCCTGGGCGGTGGAGGAAGAAATACAGCCCCTCCTCTTCGGATTCGGAATTCCCCGCGAGGGAGCTGTTGACACAAACAGGAACGGGCTTTCTGGTCCGGCGGAGCCTTGCCTTGTCCAACCTTGGGCTGCCTTGTCTCTCTTTTTCTTCAGAGACAGCGAAGGCTGTATGTGTGTGTGTGTGTTTGCGGGGGGGGGGGGTCTTAGATCTCGGCGTCCGTCGTTTCGAGCCAGACTGAGCTTAAAAGGCCAATTTTCCCTCCACATTCCTCTTTCGCTTTTCCGCGCCCCCATCCTAAGAGATGCTGTCGGACCTGCTGCAACGTAGAATCATAAAAACCTGGGGTTGGAAGAAACCTCATGGGCCATCCAGTCCAACCCCCTGCCAAGAAGCAGGAAAATTGCATTCAAAGCACTCCTGACAGATGGCCATCCAGCCTCTGTTTAAAAGCTTCCAAAGAAGGAGGCTCTGCCACACTCTGGGGCAGAGGGTTCCACTGCTGAACGAGTTCTTCCTAATGTTCAGATGGGCTCTCCTTCCTTGTAGTTTGAAGCCATTGTTCCTTGTCCTAGTCTCCAGAGCAGCAGGAAACAACCTTACTCCCTCCTCCCTATCACTTCCTCTCACATATGTCTCCTCTCAACCTTCCCTTTTTCTGGCTAAACACGCTCAGCTCTTTAAGCCGCTTCTCATGGGGCTTGTTCTGCAGACCCCTGATCATTTTAGTCACCCTTCTCTGGACACATTCCGGC